AGCATGACACAGTGATCCGGGTCGCCGCCCACGGTCTGGGCCAGGATGTTCTTGGTGATGATGGTGCGCACCTCCGAGTCGATGTAGGCAATGCCGTCATAGCTGGCGCCCGTCTTGAGCGCAGCAGCGAGCGGCTGGCCCTCTTCGCCGGACAGGCCAAACGTGGCAATCTGGTCCGGGTTCGGCGCGCCCAGCGTGCCGCTGAGCGGGCCATCCTCCGTGTTGTAAACGACAGCCGCAACGGCGCCAGCTTTGCCAGCCAGCTCCGACTTGGTGCCAAAGGGGCACGTACCGCGCTGTATAAGCGCAATGGCGCCCTTAACGTCGGCGGGGTAGTCGCCGGCGTCGCAGCCGTCGTTGGCCACGAGAGCGAGCTGGGCAAAGACGGGCTGCTTGGACTTTGTCGGTGGAGTCAGGCCCATGGGACGGCTGTCGACAACGGTATCGTTCAGGACGAGGCGCCACTCGTAGACGTTGCCCGTCGTGGCCGGGAACGTCTGGTTCCAGACGTGGTAGTAGCCGTCCTTGCCCTCCTCGGGGTTGCCGCCGCCGAGCGCGGAGACAATGGAGTAGATGTAGTCGAGGGTGCCGTTGTGACCGCCGCTGCCGATGACGCGCGTCGGATGGCCGTACTCGGTGTAGCCGCGCTGAGCAATGCCATAGAGGGCTTTGGCGTGGCCGAGCAGGCGCTTGCTGGAGATTTTGCTCTGCAGCGCCTCGCTGTCGACGAGCGGCTTCTTCGCGGAGGAGGCGGCGGAGGCGGTGGTGTCGTCGTCCGACACGAGAAGAGGAGGAGCAACCGCATCGAAGCTCTCGTGCACAATCAGAGGCTGCTGCACTGCATTATCGGAGACGGCGATGGGCAGCTTGAGGGCCGATGCGCTGCTCAGCAGCACGGCCGCCGCGAGCGGCGCTTTCCAGCCTGGCATTTGGAGAGAGGGAAAGGAGGAAGCGGCTATAAAAGACGGCAAAAACAAACAAAAACGAGTGTGTTCTGCGGTGCTGATGGAAGTCCGTAACGAAGACAAAAGAGCAAGAAGAGAAGAGCTCGAAAAAGGTGACGGAAGACGAGGAGACGAAAGGCAAGAGGCCGGAAACCGAGTCACGAGCCCAGTGAAGGATCAGGAAGGAGCTTTGCGGCGCTAAAAAGCGTCGCAAGGCAGGTCCGAGTCAGGCACAGGATTCCTCTTGGCTTGGCGGATGTGGGGCTCATGGGCGCTTTTGACCGCATTGGGTTGCTTTGGTGGCCGGTGCTCGATTCGGGAGCGCTAACGCCAGAGATAAGACCAATGGCATAATACGGGGGCAAGCGAGTGGAATATTGCGCCTTTTGCGTACTCTGGCGGTGGGTAATTGCTTTCGTTAATGATGATTCAAGCAAGATACGCAAAGGTTCATTATGCATTTATACCGTATTCGAGTGTTGGTACTGTCTTCACGTTCGTTCTTTCCTTTTACAAAATGATGAAGACGGTGGAGGCAGGCGCAAGGAGAGTCTGGAGAGGTGCGAATAAATGGCAGGAGCAAACACCCCAAATCGAGGACAAAAGAGGCCCTTTCAATCTTGTTTGTCATTTTCATACTTCTCATGCGACGTGTTATCCAATCTCGTCCATGCCGTGGAAACCGTCAATGCGTGCAAGTAATCTCGAGAACGCCTAGCATTAACACAATCGAAACATTTATGAATCCAACGCCATCCGCCTGGCGGCTCGTCAGGCAACGTGTGCCTCAGACGACTATTTATCCTCACACATCATTCACTGCGTTACGCCTTGTCGGCCCGCTCGGTGACGCCCATCATCAGCGGTGGCTTTTCCCAAAAGGCATAGGTCTTCTGGTCGGCGGCCCAGCGAATGCTGTCCGGCTGGGTCGCCAGGTCAAAGTTGAAGACGATGCGGGCCAAGACCGCGCGCATATCGGCCACCGCCAAATAGCGGCCGATGCAATTGCGGGGGCCGTACGAGAAGGGATGGAAAGCGTCGCGTTGATCGTTCTGGAAACGCTTGTCGGCACCGGCGCCCGTGAGCCAGCGCTCAGGCGCGAACGTATCGGGCAGCGCAAAGTTGCGCTTGTTCCGGAACATGGCATAGTAGGAGATGGTGAGGACAGTGGCCTCGGGCAGGTAGAACTGGCCGTTGGCCACGGTGGTGCCGCCGGCCTTGGCCTGGCGACCAAAGCCCCAGACAGTGGGTGGGTGCATGCGCAGGGCCTCGTCCAAGACGGCGCCGAGGTACGGCAGATTTTTGACGCCGGCAAAATTGATCTCCGCCTCTGACGAAAAGGCGCCACGCACCTCGGCCTGCAGTTTCTCCAGTGGAGACTGGCCACCGGCGGCCGGGGCGGGAGTTGTGGACAGGAAATACAAGGCAGCGCTCACGGCTGTAGCCGATGTCTCGGCGCCGGCCGTAATAAAGGTCGTGAGCGAAGCGTGCATGCGCTTGGTCGTCCAAAAGTCTTCGTTTTCGAGCATGGGTGTCACAAAGTCTGCCCGGCCAGGACCCAAAACGCGGCGGCGCTTGATCTTGTCGTCGGACATTGTATGGTGCCACATGAGTTGGTCGCGAGCCTCGCGGGTCATTTTCAGCCAGATGGCGAGGCGGGCAAGCGTGGTGCCCAACAAGCGGTGGAGGTTGACCTTGGTCACGCCACCCTTTACGCCTTTGGCAATCATTGCCACCCACGCATGCTCGGCGCCGTCGACGAGGCTGCCAAAGGGCTCGCCGAAGCCCAGCTCGCCGATGATGTCAAAGAACAGCCAATTGGTGTACTGGACCATATCGACGACGTTGCTGTCTTGGTCGTCTTTGCCTTCTTTGCCGTCACTCTTTTTCGAGCTCTTCTTGGCGGCGGCATGGAGAAGACCGACGAGTCTGTCGATGTGGCTCTGAATGAGCGGCTCCTGCTCGGTGACGGCCTTGGTGGAAAAGGCCGCATTCAGTGACTTGCGAGCCATGATGTGGTCTGCCTGTGGCATGTAGAGCAAACTTCCGGGCCGCGAGATGTTGTTATAGAAGACCGTTTCCTTGGGGTTCTCCGCGTACGCGTGGCCGCCATTTGCTTCGGTTCCCGGCATGCGTTTCTGTCCAAAGACATCACTCCAGCCATGGGCCCCCGCAAATGACACCTCGTTGGGGCCAATGCGTACAACGTCGCCGTATTCCATGTGCATATCGCGCAAAATCTTGTGGGCATCGCCAGACATGTACATGCGGTAGCGGGGAAGGCCCGTGGCGGCGTACCACCAGGGACCCGGGACGACGCGAAGTGGATGGAGGAATATGTTGTAAACGATGCGGGCAAAGAAACCTAGGATGGTCTGGATCGTTAGAGGTTCTTCAAGCCGGCTCTACTTCCAACCGCTTCAATTTTGACTCACTGTGATGACGGCCAGGCGGAAGATCAGCGCCGCGGGTGGCATACTAACCTGCCCAGCCTTGATGAGGCCGAGCAGACTCTCAGGAGATGTTGACATGGTAGTGAAGCGAAGCTGATGAAAGGGAGAAACTGCCAAATGCTGTTGTCGCAGGCCGAGAGGGGGAATGTGTGGCTCTTGGGGACATGAGCCTTATGTTGGAATTCTATCCACTGTTTGAGACACTTGCCTTCTGTAACTATCAACCCTTGTCTCCATGTCTATGGCTTCTGACCTTTTGAAGCGGGCGGTTACTTGTATAAGGATAGACAAAAACGTTACATCCTTTCCGGTCATCTTGTGAGAAGTGGATGTGGGCGTGAGCGTGGCTGTGGACGTGAACAACTGGCACACGGCCGGGAGAAAGATCACTCTGTAAACGGCCCATGCGGCTCGGAAACTCGAAATAGCGGCGTCGATCAGAGGACTCGCTGTGACTCGGCAGGCAGAAAAGATCCGCAGAAAAGGCCGGTTCCTTGGTAGTGTACAGTTGTGTCCAAGCAAAATCAGATTACGCAAACACTTGTGGCGACGATACAACCATCACAACAGATCAGTCGGGCCGGGAACTTGTCCGAACTCGTCCGCCGGACGCCTTACGGAGTACATTGTGCGTGGCACTGTGGACAAAACTTATTCCCGGTTCTCACGACCGCGTCTCCGTAGGTCCTGTTTCAGGACAAAACATGGCCCTCAAATTTTGGTGCACCAGCAAGTCTTTGTTCGCCGCTCATACGTTTCCATTCCGGTGCAATTGCCTTCAGAAACGGCATTATATGTTTCTTTGATCCCTATTATCAGTTCCACCATAGCTCTTCTCAATTTGGGCCACATATGACTGGTGTTTATGCAGCACCAAGCACATGCCACACCAGCTTCGTCTCCATCTTCGATGCGTGTCATTTTGCGCCCTGCGTATCGTAACTCGGATCGGCAAGTATCCTTTGCAACCGTGGCACGCGTTGTTTTGTCCAATTCGGTGTTCTGTACGATACGTATATTTCAAAGACAGAAAGGAGACAAGAAAGAAAGAAAGTTACAAAAGACCAAGACCGAATCTCCACTCCTGTCGGACTCGTATCCATCGTCTAACAGATGTGTGCCAGCATGGCCTTTAAAACTGGGCGTTGATTACGAGTAGCGTCGCTGCCGCAGGTCGGAGTAACACCCTTCCATCAGTCGTATTGTACGATATACGGAGTATGCTGACATATTCCTGTTCGTATATCCGAAAATTACCAAAATCCCGACAGCTACCATGGATGTTTAGGAAATCAAAACCCCCCCCCAAAAAAGCGGCGTCAGGTCCTGTCAGCACTAATTCAACGTTGCGACCAGTTAAGAGTCCGCATAAACATCAGATCCATACTCCGGTTTTCAGGTTGACCAAAAAACGCGGCCAAAGTAAATAGAAAGAATAAAACTGAAAATGGAGCAAATCTAGAAACCAAAAGGAAATTCGAGAACTAAAGTTACATGTATCAAAAACAACAGAACGCCGCCGCTGATATATTGGAAGATGGAAAATACAAGATACACTGTAAGTGCCCCATGTGACCGACCATGAAGCAGGCTATATAGGCGGTTACGCCTGCTCGCCCAGCGGTGTCAGGCCGGCGCGAAACGGTCGCTGCAGGTTCTTAATCTTGTTGTCGTCGACACGCCAGACGCCCTTGGTGCGGTCGTCGTGCAGCTGCAAGTGTGTTCCGGCGGCACCCGCAGCCGCTGCCAAGCGGTGGAAGACGGCATCGCCGTCGTGCTCGGCATTCTTGAAAAAGAGCGGCGTCCAGACCTCGCCGGCGGCGGCCTCGCGGGCGCGCATGCGGCGCTGGGCCTGCTCGATCTTGGACTTTTCTGCAACGGTCTGGCTCAGATCGCCCTTGCCGAGACCGTCGAGCACACCCGCCCAGGCACGCCGCGACTCCCAGGGGTCCTGGGTGGCAGTGTCGGGCAGATCAATGGGTGCGGGCTTGTTCTCGGGGGCGTCGACGTCGTATGTCTCGAGCACAGCGCCGGACCGCGCGTCACGGACGGTCCAGCCCTTGCTCCAGACGCCCTCAATGGTGTAAAGCACGTCGCGCTTCGTGCTGCCGGGCTCGCTGGGGCCGAAAACCTTGGCCGTGAATGCGTTGCGCGTGCCGCCCCAAGCCAGGCCCTGGCCGGAAAACTTGATCTCGGCCGTGTAGCCGCTGCTGCCGACGACGTGGTAGGTTTCGGTGATTTCAGGATACAAGCGGCCGGACAAGAAGCCGCGCACCTTGATAACGGGCAGGGGAATCAGGTAATCTTCATCGTACGCATCAACGCGCACCACCGCGTGGCCAACCTGGCGCACCTGGACGCTGCCCGAAAAGGTCATTTCGACGCGGGCGTATCCGTCGGCACGCACGCCGTGGACGTCGTCGGAAATGTGCATGGCGGTGATGGGCGGGTGATGGCTGACCTGCTCGGCGACAAGACGGGTGGTTATGCGGTCGGTGCCACAGGCGCAGGACGACGAGGTGGAGGAGGTGGTGGTGTTGGTGGAGTTGGTGGCGGAGGAAGAGATGGTTGTGCTGCGGCTCAGGCCAGGCTCTTGGTGCTGGCTCGAGAGACTGCTTCGTGCCGACGGGCTCCTGCTCTCCACGCCATGTGTCTTCTCGTCCGTCCACTCGGCGAGGAACAGCTCGCCCAAAAACGCATTGAGCGGCTTCTTGATGCTTGTCGAGGGCGAGCCGCCGACGTACATTTGTGAGCGCAGGGCAATGAGGACCATGCGCAAGACGAGCAGACAGCGGCGATCGGCGGCGGGCTCAAGTGCAGGTGCTGCAAAAACGGCGGGTCGTTGGGCCCAGCACCGGCCGACTTCGACGACGGACATGGGCGCGAGCATGGATGGCGGGCCGGTGACGTTGGCGAGATCGCCTGAGGTCGAAGAGAGGAACTGGACATTGTTAGAGGAAAGGCAGGGGATCGTCACAATTGTGAAGTCAACAAACCTGCAGAAGCTCCTTGCAGCGAGAGGCAAGAGACTTGTCCATTGCGGTGGATGTGCTGCAACTCTGTGAGGGCTTGGTGTGGTGGCACTAGGCGTGATCGGCAATGGCGATGTAAGTGATATTGGTGTTGGTGATGACCAGCGAAAGTAAACAGACAATGGGCTTGCTTTTCAATTTCCAATGCTCTTGAAACAAATCACCTCTGTCTATCAGTACTTTCCCTTGGCGTCGTTCGTGCCTTCTCTTTTTATGTTTTACATGACTACTTGGCGTGCGGAGGAAGGTACGTGGCTGTCTCCTGCTTCACTTTTGTTTCACCCACTTGTGGTGGGAAGGTGCGCCATACGCCGCGTTGCCCCACGCCAACAACGAAGCGACTCTTAGCCTGGTCTGCAGCATCGCACCTGCCTCAGTTGAAGGAATCGAGTAACCGAGCTTCTACAGCTCCTGCCTCGTCATAGCACAGGGTGACCATGGAATAGTATGTGGGAAATGCGCGCACCTGCAGAGTACAGGTACCGGGGAGCCAATAGGGCCGCTAGGATGCCGTGTTCTTGGTCTACTGATGCACTGCCGCTTGGGCAATTGTATGGCGCTGCTGGCGACATCGACGGCACTTGCACGGAAGCACTGTTCTCCGGCAGACCATTTTGCATCGCTTGCTATTTTTGCCCTGTTCTTCTAGCCCTTTTCGTACTCCCGGGCGGATGGTGACGCCGTCGGGGTCTGGAGTGTCGCCGGCAAATGCACTACAGCCACTGAAATACACTCGTTTAGCGGGCACTAGCGTGCTAGAAGCGCTGAGAGATGCTAAATTCTTATATTGCTGCGCCACTGTTGTCGACGAGACGGTCCAATTCGACGGCCATGTATTGTACCGAACAGACGTCCTGGAGAAAATAGACAAATGTTTCGTGCGTGTTCATCAGATTGCTTGAAATCGCACCAAATGGACTGAAATATCATACTGTAAATCCCTGATCATGGTATCATCGTGTCGGTGGATATTATACCTCCGACAGTTTCATTGTTTCTCCCCGAATTTCTGATGCTTTCTCTTTTATGCCATCTCTTTGTCCTCGGCCCTCGCCGATGTGGCGTCGGGTCGGGTGGCATCGAGTGTTACATCGTCTGTAGTGTTGCCCGATACTGGCTCGCTTGCCGTCTCCGTCTCGTCTTCCTTTTTGGCGCCCTCCTTCTCCGAGACTGACGAAGCCGACGACGCCCCATCGCCCTTCTTAGACCGTGAGAATATGGACGTGCCCGGAATGAAGGTCGACGCAGACTTCGACATGCTGGACATGGAAGACATGGTGGGCATAGCCATGGAGGACATGGAGGGAATCGAAGACCGCGACAGGCCGTCAATGCGCGGCATCTTGGCCGGCAGCTGCGACGACCAGCCGGACACACGCTTGAGGCCTGTGCCGGCATTCTGGGCAACCGACAGGAGATGCCGCAGGTAGGTGGCGCGGTCTTCGGGCGGCATGTCTGCGGCTGCTGCTGTAGAGCCCGGGCCGACAAGATCGTCGTCGTCGTCGTCGTCGTCGTCGTCAATCACAATGGCTGAAGCAGTATTGCTGCCCTTGGCCTCGTTCTCCTCGCCCTCGCCACCGCGCATCAATGACGCCGTGGCAGCAATGTCGATGGGTGACTCGTCCGGCAGGCCCTTTTCGGTGTCATTCTGATTGTCGTCCGTCGATCCGCCAGCCACATCGTCGTCGCCTTCGTTGCGGGCGGCCTCGGCTGCTGCCGCCAGCCCCGACTTGCTGCTTCCCTCCACAATCTCAACGCCCTCGTCCGTCACCCGGATAGAATCCTCTTCCGTCGCATCCTTGTCGGCTTCGGCCGCCTCTTCAGCTAGCATAGGGCCCAGCGTGTCCACAATGGGGTTGTCGTTGCTGAACCAGCTGGCAACAAGCACGGCAGCACGGCCGGTGAAGGCATCGTAGTGGGGGTTTTTGTCGCGCTTGAAAAGGCTGATGTGCGCCTGCACCTCGTCTTCGCACGTCGACATAGTCCAGCGCTCGAACATGGAAGAAATGGCCGTCGTTTCGGTTTCACTGTTGTCTGGCTGGGTTTGGCCATTGTCGGTCGTGTCTTCCTTCTCCTCTTGGTTCGTCTTCGCTGCTTCGTCGACAGCTTCCTTGTTGTCATCTTTGTCTTTCTCGGCGTCTGTCCCGTCTTTCTCGTTCTCTTTCTGTTTCTCCTTTTCCTTCTCCTTTTCCTTCTTTTCTTTTTGTTTGTCTTCTGGCACTGCACAGAACGTCCGCTCCGGGACAAAATACCCGCCGCTCCAGTAGCCGTTGGCCCCCAACGACACATACAAATCGTGCACGCCGATGCCGCCCTGCAATCCGCCCAGTCGTTGCAGCCGCCGGTTCAATTCGGCCTGCTTCAGGAGCGCGCCCACAAACGTAAAGTGCGCTGACAACCACGCAAACGACTCGCCCACGTTGCGCCGGTTGATGTACGCCAGGCCCTGGCCGATGGCGTCGACGCCCGACTGGCAGCCCTCGCGCAGGCTCTGCCGGTCCATGCGGCGCACCTTTTCCACGCCAGCCATAATGGCCTTGCGGTGTGTGTAGGCCGCGACGCCGCCGGCCGCAATGGCGCCGACCGTGCCGGAGCGCACAGCCACGAGCTGCCAGACCTTCCAGCCGGCGCTGGCGGCGCCACGCGCAGCACTCCCGCCACCACCACCACCACTGCTCGACGGCTTGGCAGCACGCCCCATGGCCAACCGTCCCAGGGCGACGGGCCCTGCAGACAGCGCCGTCATCACATTGAACACGGTCTGCACCTTGCTGTAGTTGGAGAACGCGCCGTAGACGAACATGGACCGCGACAGGCCGTTGTAGGGCGTGTCGAGCGCCAGGAGGCCCTGGATGGGCGGGAAGAGCGCCGTCGTGTTGTCGGCCGCCCCAGTCTCTTGCTCGGCCGCCCGGCGCTCGTCAAGCGCCAGGAACAGCGCGTCGGCCGCAACGAACCCGCCCATGGAGTGTGCGACAAGCACGACGCCCACCTGGCGGTCATTGGGCGGCCACGGCGTGTCCAGGTGCTGTTTTCGGACGTCCATCACGCGCGCCTTGAGCCACTCCAGAAACTGCTGGCTGGCCTCTGCGAGCTCGCCCTTGGTCTCGTAGCGCGGGTACACGACCGTCTCCACGCGGTCGTGGTCCGGCAGGATGCCGGCGACGGTGGATTTGAGGTCCTACACACAGTTAGATATTGCGTGCAGCAGAAAACGCAAGGACGCACTACCGTGAGACGTACATCAGGAAAGCTGCGAAAGGTGTTGCCGCCGCCCTTGAAGCCGTGCACAAAGCACAGCAAGAGAATGCGTGGCATCTTGCAAGCCTTAACGTGGGCTATATCGAAAAGAAAAGTCGAGTAGACGATGAGACAACGTTGCTCAGGAAGCCATGTTGTGAAAAGGAAACGTGAGTTCCTCAACAACGAGGCGACGTCAAAGGTTTTATTGTGAATGGTTTCGTTGAAGCAAGATCGAGCTATGGAGTGGCCTCCCGGCCACTAAACCGCTGTGGCGAAACGGTGACACCGCAACCTACGCACTAAAACACGTGTAAAGGCCGCTAATGTCCCATCCAAATCTTGGTTCGATAGCCCTGACGTGTCATTTACAATCACTACATTTCCTTATGTCGTCATCCATCCTTTACGATCAGGTTTCGAGCGTCGTCGTATTACAGCCAACAAGTTTGCATTGGGTCGGTCCAGACTTGAAGCTGTATTCAATGGCATTTATTGTTAACCGAAAGAGCTGTTTTTATTTCATTGCATTCCAAGTTTTATTATTTTAGGACCGCCAATAACACCTGATTAATTCGTACATACATGCTCTCCGCCAAATTACTCGCATCTGTTGCTCTAGAAAAATCAAATCCTAATCGCACTCCTCTAAATCAAACCTTGTAGGTAAGGCCGGATGGAAAAGGCCGACCCTCCTTGGTTGCTGTCATTGGCCCTGCTCGGCAGCCCAGGTAGAGGTCCGGCTGGAGGAACGGTCGGCTCCCGCTGCGTCCGGCTGCGTGACGATGGGGATGCCGCCGCCACATTTGCGGTAGCAGCCGGCGTGGCGCCGTATTGAGACACCGGCGCTAGCTGGCTAACAAAGTCGTGATACTCGCGGGCCAGGCTATCAGCGCTGTCCTTATTAGTGTACCGACTAGCGGTTGTCTCCTTTGTGCGGGTGCTACTGCTGTTGTTATTGTTGTTGCTATTGTTGTTGTTGTTGTTGTAGCTGGTATTGCCTGCATAGTAGGCATAGTTGGTCGCATACAGAGCATTGCTGGTCTTGTTGCCGGCGCTGCCCGCTGTGGTAGTCGCTCGCTGCATCTGGCTGCGGTTCCATTCCTCCTCCATGCGGCTGATGCGGTCGAGGCCGCGCGGCTCCGAGCGGCTCCCCGGTCCGAGAGGTTCGTAGACGCTGGACGTCGGCCGAGGCTTGTATGTGCTTGTGGTTGTGCCTGCATTTGTACTGGCCACAGGAATCATGCGGCTGGTGCGGCTAAAATTGCGGCTTGCACGCACTTGATTCTGGCTCCGGTAGACGTTCAGAGGCGCAACGACATCACGAGCACTGCTGGTTGGGCTGCCAGCCTCAAAGAAGGTGGACCCGTTGTTGGTGCTGTTGCCGTTGTTTGCTGTAGATGCGTCGCCGCCACCAGCTGTCGTAAACGACCATGTTGAGAAAATTCGGTCGTTTGAGGACACAGCTGTGGCCGTTGGTGCGCTAGAGTCGGCCGGGGCCGCAGCCGAAGCCACTTTCGCTTTCGCTGCCTCCTCGCCTTCTGGAAAGACTCGCTCATACTCTGGAAGCTTGTACTCTTTCAGAGTGACTTCAGACGGCGGCGCGACGCGGCTGTCCATTTTGGGCCGTGTTGTCGAGGCCCGAATACGCCATTGGCGCAAGCTACCGCCGCTGCTGCGGCTCTCGCCGGAGAGACCAGTACCGCTGGCAGCGCTTGGGCTTCCTCTGCCGCTGGGCTTCTTCACCGTGCTGTTCGTGGCGGCCGGCCGCCGCTTCCAGAACCAGAGAAAGACGATGCATCCAAGAGATGCCAGACCCACAGCGCCTAGAATAATACCAGCAAAGGCGAGGACCACCTCGGGCGTTGTGCAGGCACCGAGCGCGTTGTTCTGCCGGTTGGTCTGCAGAATAGGCGGCTGGCTTTGTGGGGCTGAGGCTCCATTGGCCTCTGGGACTGTGCCGGGCAACCCTGCATCCGTTACCGCAGTCACAGTCGCCGTCGGCAGATTGGCCACGGCCGCGGCCTGCTGGGCCACAAAGGAGGCGCTGGCGCTGGCAACAGCGGCCACCATGACGGATGACATGCTGATAGACATCACCTGCTCTGCCGAGGAGACAGACGCCAGCATGGATGCCGCGAGAGACGACGAGAGCGATGCCTGGGCGGACGCTGCCGACGACTGCGCGGAAGCCAAGGCCGATGAAGCACTCCGGCTCGCCTGGCTGGCACTGCGGCTCGCGTCGTCGGCACTCTGTTTCAGCGTGTTCACGGCCTGCTGTGCCGACTGGAGGCTTGTCTGCAACTGGGAGATGGTGCTTGACGCGGATGAACTCAGTGATGTAAAACGAGAGCTGAAGGAGGAGGAGATGGATGACAACGAAGCAGAGTTGCGTTGTTGTTCTTGTTGTTCTTGCTGCTGGAGCTGCTGAATCTGAGCATTATTGTTGTTGTTGCTGTTAGCATTGTCATCGCGAAGATGGATGAGAGCATCGCTTGGACGTGGCAGAGAAAACGCCTGGCATGGTAAGGTGAGGGATGCATGTGCCGCTGGTGCTGTTGTTTGTGGTGGACGAACAACACCGGCTGATGCCCCTGGTAAGCTGGCGCCACCGAGGGCGAAGCAAAAAAAAGCAAACGTGTGTTTCATTATGGCGGATGTTGACGAAGGAAATGGGTATCAATATGAAAATGAATGAGTACAGGAGACGTGCCGGGAAAGAAGGAAGAACACGATGGAAACCGAGAAGAAGAGAAAACAGCGACCAGGTCAAAAGGGACGGGCAAGTCAGCGATATTAAAGATAATGGAAAGCCAGGGAAGCAGGAAAGAAGTGATCCCGGTGTGGCCACATCGATAGACCCGGAACCGAGGCGGACCTCAGGACGAGGGCAGAAACGAAGTGATGCGCAGGGTAAAGTCAGACCGTAAAAAGGAGCAGCAAAGAATGACAAAGTGGATGAAGCAGTAGCGGATGATACAGCTCCTCAGACCTTGCCTTCAGGTCGGGTGATGAGATGTCCATGGCGAGCGATCTCTGGACGCTCTGTTGCTCTCGTACCGCTCTCATCCCGTCTTGTCTGGCCTCGTCTGTACTCGACTTCGCAGTTCCTTCTTCTCATGCCTCACATCGAAGCATGCGACAGCGTCGCAACCAGACAACGGAAACAGTCGACCTGGAGCTGGCTAAATGGGAAGAGACCAAGTGGGAACCAAACATCGTGAGAAGTTCTTGGCGACGGTGGGTAACCAGCGAACTCCCATCTCAAACACAGCTTGCCAGTTGGTCATTGAACAATGGACCGTGGGTGAGCATCATATTTGTGTTCTCAACGAATTAGCCGGCGTCATCTTTGGTAGTGTGGACTGGTAGAACGAAGAGGCCGAAGCAATCCGGGGAACCGAATGCAACGTCTGGAGTCCACCTTGCGTGCTGGCCTCTGCCGAGCATCAGCTGCAGAACCCGGCTTGTGGGGTCGAACGGCGGTAGAGGCGATGTTAGCAAAGAAGAAAAGAAAACGAAAAGAACACTGGAAGCGGAGAAGCAATGGCTGCACCAAACTCGGCAGTAGAAAATGAATGCAAATGTACCGGTACATGTGTGATCGCCGCCGGGTTGCCTTGCGCTTGTTGAGTCGTACGAGGATGGCGGAGGGCGGCATAAGAGGCAGCATCAATAGGTGCGAGAAAAAAAAGAAACCAGGGGTGACCTGACCTCACATCGCATGTGTGCTCAATCACAGCAACTCTGTGGCGTCAAGATCGGCGATGCATGAAATGCAAACGACATTAGCAAGGGGCAAGAGGAAAGCCCGAGAGACTGTGGGGCCCTTGGAAGCATAGAAGGAACAAAGAACGACAAGACGAAGAAGGAAAGAAGGAGGGAGAGAAGGAAACGTGCGAGGGAAGGCGCGACCCAAAAATACACAAATAAAAAAAGGTGAAAGAACGGATGGCATCCAGCTACCCGGCGTGTGGGGCAGGAACGATCGTGTCTTCTCGGCCGACGCCGTTTGGTTCGGCTGATATGGAAAGTCTGAGATTCTTCACGCCAAACACTCTAAACACGCCCAATTTCGATTTTCCAAAGTCCAGCAGGCAAACTTCTTCCCTTACCGTCTTCTTTTCATCATGTGTCTAGTATTGTGTTCTCGGTTTTCGTCTCATTTCGACGGCACATTCTGCTTAGTTGTGTTTATTTTGCCTGCCTTCTTTCATCCATGTGCCGTTATTTTTGCCAAAATTCCAGGTCATGAGAAAAGAGTTGGGAAAATTCGGCCAAGAAACAACGGGCACGCTGGTGTTTTCAAAAGATATAAAGATGTCGACAAGATGACTGTGGGACCGCACATTGAAGAAGAAGCATAGTTGCTCTCGTTTGCTATCGCGTTTCTTCATGTAACCTCACGATTCTCCGTTCATCTCAAACTTCAGAGACCCTGCATTTCATCTTAACTTGCCACCTCGTCCGCACTTTGATGCTCCTTCGTCTCTGGCCCTGTCCCTGTTTGCTCGTCGCTTCCTTGCCTTTGATCAATGTCTGACCGCATTAAAGTTTGCATACAACACCTACTTTATTCGCCTTCTTTTCTTCCTCTTCTGTTATCCTTCTTTCCTCCACCCTTACCTTCCTGGCGTGCTGGCCCTCATTTCATCCCTCCTCTCCGCTCTTCCGTGCTTGATCGACGACCGGCAGCCCCTGCTTCCCCAGATCACCACCCAAAGTCTTAGCTTTCATTCACATGTATCAGCACATTGTAAACCATCGCGTATTTTTTAATGTGCCGTTCCCCAGCGACAATTTAGGCGTACCAAATTCCAAGCCGGCTGGATCAGCATCTCCATCTGGGGTCTCCATTCACGACAGATGCTCACGGCCTAGTGGTTCGGCTGATACTTGTCCAAAGACCAGCCGAGCCTGTAGCGACCAAAAACGACCAATTCGTCTCAACACTTTGCCGTACCAGTAGAATGTCAAATCGAGCACCAGACTCTTCGGACACCCCAGGCAAAGGCCACTTACGGCTTGTCTGCTCTGTCCGTCGACTCGTTGTTTGAGAATGTTTTATCAAAACAGGCATACCAAATACGCACATTTTCTCGCCATTGCATAGTTCACTGTTTGGTTTTACCGACTCGGCGATGCCGCAATGAACCCGGCTATTTATTTATGACATGATACCTTTTGTACATAATTACAGAAGACTGGTGGTTTTGGTCCAAAACATGCCCATTCCTAAAACAAAAAAAAGAGAGAGAAAAGAATGAAAACTCATGGTTTCAAATGCCGTCCTCATTTTGGTCACCCGCCATTTCTAAATCTTCGTGATGAACCTCGGCCCAATGTGCAGATGCTTCCGTATCGCCCGCACGGAGAGCAAACTCGGCAGCCAATTTGCTCGTGCGCACGGCGTAGTCCACAAATCCATGCTCGGCAATGTAGGCAGCTAGCTTGCCAGCCCGGTGCGCGAAAGCAAGCTCCCGTTCCTGGCTGCCGGGGCCCAAGGCAGCAGCTTCCTCGAGCTCATCGAGTACGTGCTGCATGTGCACGCGCTCGGCATCGTCATGCACCGATGCAGCCGCACAGGACGTGCACATGCACGTAAAGCCGTACTGGGCAAGACGTGTACGACGTGTCGCCGTGTCGGCCAGCAGCGGGATGTATGTCGTGACAAGTTCGTCGCCAGCGGCAATGGCGCGGGCAGCGACAATGACACGGCGGTACACGCCCGTCGTTGGGTCCAAGACGTCCGTGTTGAGCACGTTGGGGCGACAATCGTGATTGATGAGGGCGACGTCTGGATAGAGGGCAACACGTCCATCGCGTGTGTTGTACGCGTTGCTTCGAAGGATGCGCATGAGGCGGCTGCTGTATACGCCGTCGTTGTCCGTCTCGTCCTTCCCCTCGTCGCCGAAGCGCACCTCGTGGCAGGACAAGTACGCTTCTTGCTGGCTGTCTGTCAGCCGCGCATACGCGTCGGCCACGACGGGCTGTAAGGCCGCGATGGAGAAACCCACGCCGGGCACCACCGGTGGCGGCATGACTGTGACCAGAGGGTCTTCGACGAGGAGCCGCCGACCTCGCAGGATGTCCACCAGTGCAAAAAGGCCGCGACCTTTGTCCGGTGTCATGCGGACCTCCCAGAGGGCATCGGACGGACGGTCTGTCTGTTCATTTCTCGGGCATGTCGGTGCCTGCAGTTGTTAGGGATCGCAAGCCTTTGCAAATAATGACATGCAGAAAATTCGAGATATCCAGAGTATGACGTACCAGGAGTGCCAAGGCTACCGTTGTCGATGCGCATATTGGTGGTAGTTTTGCATGCGTAGCACGCACACCGCTGATATACAGAGCTGCCAAGAATAACAGCCCAAGAATTGCCATATTTTTGTCACCTTATCCGGACGGGTTCATGGTTCACCAGAAAGGGAATTTCATCCAGGTAAGTGCATTTTGCCATGGCTCTGAGTTCTTGAGCATGGCCAACTCCTCGTGCGTCGTCGCTTGTTTCATGTCGACTGCCCCTTGCCATTATCCCACCAAATTCACAATGAGACAAAATAACTCAAAGACCGTGCGCACAAGCAACGACGTGACGAAATTATGTCATCCCTTGTACGGAGCCATTGAAAGACATAAGACCTAAGTGAAAAACAATGAAGACATGAAATCTGTCAATTTATGCTCCAGAGGAAGCAATGTATAATGCACGCAAAGGCCTTGAACTCCTTCGCTTGTAAGGAGTAAGCACAGGCGAGCTGGAAAGGCGCCTTGGTCACCTCATAGCAAGGAGTCTCAGCTATATTTGACATGCTGTATACGGCCGTGCAGGCAAAGCAGACACGACGGCAAGTAATGTTGGCCGATGTTTGTGCAGACGGGATAAAACTTATAGCAGCTGTATGTCTGGCTCTTTCCGTAGAGTCCCTGCTATTGTGCTTTTTAATATTCGTAAAATAGTACCAAAAATAAAACATGCCTGCCAAACGCGTCTAGATTCCGATCTAATCTTCCCAGCCGGTGATGGATATGTCAATGATAAAACTAAAATAAATAAAAGTGTTTGTTCTCTGCACTCTTTCCATCTACCAGTTCGTTTGGTTTCGTTACGCCTGCGTCTCTCCAAGTCCAAAAGTCAACATCTCCAGTACAGCCGACAATGCAGCTCCTTTCGCCCCTCGTTCTCCTCGCCCTCGCGGCATTGGGTATGCCTGCCCAGGCACAGAACGCTACAGTGCCCACCCCCGCCGCACCCGGCCTCGATTTCTTGTTCAGCTGCAACGTCTCGGTGGGCCTGTCCGTCAAGGTCGGCACGGGCGTCAAGAACACGACGCGGGCCGTGTTCCCCGTGTACGGTGGCCAGGCCATCGGTCCCCGCGTGCAAGGCAAGGTGCTCGAAATCGGTGCGGACTGGGCGTCGTACGGCACGCTGCTGAACGGCGTCAACGTGGCCGACGACGACACCGCGAGCAAGAACCCCAATGCCACGAAATACTTTGCGACGGACGCGCGGTTCCAGCTCCTGACGCTGGACGGAGCCAACATTTTGGTCGCGACACAAGGGCAGACCGCGCCGGGGACGACCACCGGCGCGGTGCATGTGCGCGCCACCCTCGAAACGGCGAGCGCGGCCTACAGCTGGGTCAATGGCATTTTGGTGGTGGGCGTTCTGCGGACGAACAGCGACGGCTACCAGATTGATCTGTGGCAGTTGACGACGCCCTAGGTGGGCGGCGAGGAGGCGGACCACAACGACAAGCAGCGTGCGCGAGGCAAACGCTACGGGTGACGGGGAACGGGAGACGAAGGCAGAGATTGCTCCGATGGTTCTGGAATTAAAAAATTGTATCCCGAAAAAAGATCACAACTATTTACACTTACAGTGGATCTGATGATCGGAGTCAAGCGATCTTGACATGTCTCGTTTAGCCTATTGTTTCCGCTTTAAAGGATCCTACTTTTGTGTTTCCTTATCCGTTCACTGTCAACACGCCCCCCTCATCTTGTGCCGCGAATGCTTCCGATTGTATTTGTTCAGGAACCAGGTCGGCCCTATCCAGTGCCATGCCATATGCCATATATGGGTATAGCATAGATGGGATCTGGTATTGTGAGCAGCGTCCCGTAATTTTGAGAGCCGCGTGCAATATGCTAATAATAGAAGATGGGTATGAAAATAGTGATAAATTTGAATGCGGCGTGGATACGGTCCACAGATAGGTGACGTTGAGAGATTTTGTCTTGTAAAAAAAAGGAATTGCGAGAGTAACGTTCATAAAAGCGACTGTCTCTGAACAAATGCAAGCGAAGTCGAAGATGACGAGCTGGATGCTACCAAAAATAAACCAATTTGACTAGATAATATCCAAACCGACCAATTCTATCCCGGTATTGTGTCCAAGCGAGAGGATCCAGCCAAAGCGAGGAAACCGGAAACATCGTAGACAGGTCTAGAACTTGGCGGGTATTCTTGCCAACTTACCTCTTGGTGACTTGGATCGGTACGAGACCTTTTGGACGGTGCTTGGCGTCTTATTTCGTTTTTACAAGACGTTCACCGTGCATGTGGTCTTGACCTCAGGAAGGGAGCCTACCTAACCATCGTTTTTGCCTCTAGCCACACTCGACACTGGACGCCTCAACAATGCAGCTCGCTCAACTGATTACATTCTGTGCGACGTACATTGTCACCGTACACGCGGACGTCGGTGATGGCAGTGTCTCGGGCACACGCCTGCCAAAGCCTTCCCGGGACCCGTGGATGACCACACCGCCACCGGCCGGGTGGGAGTCTGCGGCACTCGGTACGGTGCTCAAAGTGCGCCCGCACGCTTACAACATGTCCAAGTCGGCCATCGGCTTCGAGGGCTACCGCGACGTGTTCCAGCTGATGTTCCGGTCGTCGGACAGTCACAGCCAGCCGATGGTGGGCGTGACAACCGTTTTCGTGCCGGATGGACGCGGCGGCGACGGAGCCGGCAATGCGTCCACCTCCCATGTCCCCGTCTTGTCGTACCACCCGCCATACGACACGGCGTGCATCGACGCCAGTCCCAGCTACGGGCTGCAGTTCGGCGAGCCGTACGGGGAGATTGCATTGGCCCTCAAGCGCGGCTGGTTTGTGTCGGTGCCCGACTACGAGGGTCCACAGGCGAGTTATGGCGCCGGTGTGCTGGCCGGGCACGTCCTGTTGGATGCCACCAAGGCGGTCGTCGCCACGCTGCGCCAGGGCGTGCCGACGTCCGCCGACCTGCCCACATTCAGAAACACGACCGCCACGCCAGCCACGCCAGCCACGCACAACGTGACCGTTGCCTTCTGGGGGTACAGCAGCGGCGCCGGGGCCACAAACTTTGCCCTCGAAATGGCCGACGCGTACGCCCCCGACTTGGTGCTGCACGGCGCTGTCGTTGGCGGCATGACGGCCAACCTCACGCACAGCCTCGAGCTGCTGAGCGGGCGCGATGTGGCCGGCCTGCTGGCGCAGACGCTCTTGGGCATCACGACGCAGTACCCGGACCAGAAGAAGGTCCTGGACGACAGCCTGTGGCCCTCTGGCATCTACAACGTGAGCGAGTTCTACAGCGCGCGCAACATGAGCGGCTGGCAGTCGCTGGTGCACTTTGCGTACCAGAACATGTTCTCGTATTTCCGAGAGAGCCGTGCCTCCATTTTCGGGCCGGCGTCGATGCGCGAGATGCTGAAGACGGAGGGATGGGCCGGGCAGCACGGCACACCGCCATGGCGGACGCGCACGTTCTACTACCAGGCCGTGGCCGACGAGATGTGCCCGGCCGAACAGGTGGACCGGCTGGTTGACTCGATTTGCGCGGCGCGCAAGAACGCGACGGCATCGTCGTCGTCGTCGCCGTCGCTCTTCCTCTACCAGCGAAACCTGGTTGGCGGACACAATGACGAGCTGAGTAATGGCCGGCAGCGGGCGCTGGATTTCCTTGGCGAGATCTTGGACGGGACGCAAACGGCCATGACAGCCGGCCTACCAGCGACGGGATGTGTGATACAAAACGTGACGGTGTCTGTTGATCCCAATGGGCCGTTTCACTAGAGATTGTTGAGGGGATCTGAAGTGTACCGCAGAGGATCGGAATGTAAAGTACGGAAATAGCTTCAATGGAATTCGTGACAATTCTGTCTACGGCGCATGTTGTACCACCGCACTGAGAGCCTTAGCGTGTTTAGCGGTGCATAGCGGGACTCTGAGCCGCTCCCAGCCCCCCATTCCTTCTGTATTTTACTGCTTCGACAGGCCACACGTCATCGGCGCAACGAAAAGCTTCACTCTATTTACATTGTCACAAACGCCACGTCAAACACCACATCGCACAATGGCATCGCGACCCGCAAAACCGGAGAAGAGCGCCTCTCCTGCGCCGGTAACGCGGTGGTACAACTCGGGGGCTCTCTCCACGCTCTTCATCGTCGCGGCGACCTATCTTTTCTTCGCCGTCACCTATCAAGCCAGCCATGTGTTGGGCTTTTCGGTGCCGCTGTTGTCGCGGCTGCCACGGCCCTCGTTTCTGCAGCCCAAGGCCGCTACCATCCCGTCACATGCCCAGGTCATTGACCAGCGGGCATTCAATGCGTTGCCTCACGTCCCGCCGTCGACGGAGTTCAATGGCACCGGCCAGGTACTGCGCGGCGCGCCCTCCCTGTCTTTGGCCTAGCTCATCGCTCCTGCTTTGAGATAATTCCTTGCTGACATAACCACCTTCCTCCAGCCCTTTGTTCCACCTGGCCACACCTTGGACTCTCTAAAGGCGCGCCCCTTTCATATCTACGACCCGGCCTTTGCGGCCCTGCTTGGCCCTGATCCGACGCTGACGCGCATTGCCGTGTCGGACAAGGACCCGCTCTTCCACGAGGCCGTCGTCTGGTCGCGTGGCACCGACGAGGTGTTTTTCGTGCAGAACGCCGGGGCCCCCGACGCCGGCACTGGCTTGGCCAAGTCGGCCATCATCCAAAAGATTTCGCTGCGGGATGCGCAGGCGGCCGCCGACCGCAAAAGGGCCGGCGCCAGCGAGGCCGACACCGTGGTGCCCGTGGCCGTGGTCGACGCGTCGCCGCAGGTCGTCAACCCCAATGGCGCCGCCAACTACCGCGGCCAGATTCTGTTCGCCGGCGAGGGCATGGGCCCCGACGTGCCCTCGGCGCTCTACGCCATGCACCCGCGGCCGCCCTACAACACCACGGTGCTGCTCAACAACTACTTTGGCCGCCAGTTCAGCTCGCTCAACGACGTCGCCGTCCACCCGGCGTCGCGCCACGTCTACTTCACCGACACCCTCTATGGCTTCCTGCAGGACTTCCGGCCCGCCCCCGGCCTGCCCAACCAGGTCTACCGCTGGAACGACGCCACCGGCGCGGTGACGGTCGTGGCCGACGGGTTCACGCTGCCCAATGGCCTGGCCTTCTCGCCCGACGGCCGGCACGCCTACGTCTCGGACACGGGCATGCACCACGGTCTCCGCGGCTTTGACCTGCGCGACCCGGCCACCATCTACCGGTTCGACGTCCGCGACGACGGCACCTTTGACAACCGCAAGACGTTTGCCCATGTCGACGCGGTCGTGCCCGATGGCGTCCACTGCGACGCCGAGGGCAACGTCTACGCCGGCTGCGGCGACGGCATCCAGGTCTGGAACCCTGCGGGCACACTGCTCGGCAAGATTTTCCTGGGCACCGGCGCCGCCAATTTTCAGTTTGCAGGTGCCGGCCGCATGGTCGTCTGCGCCGAGACGGAGCTCTACTACGTGACACTGGCCGCTGTCGGCGCGGTTGTTGAGGCAGAGATGTAGCTGTAGCCGTACGATTGCGAGACGATAGCAGGACGGAAGAATACAAACCGGCGACGTCGTTCAACAGGGAAACTTCAAAACTCCGTCAAACCTCCATCCCAGGGAAGCAAATGGCGCCTAGTTTTAATCTTGTGAAGAAACAATGAGCTGCAGGTGACTGTGATTGAGACCATGAACCTAGAATTCCACGGTTTTATCCGTTTCGAGAATGGCGTCACGACGGCGACGACGGCGACGACGGCGACGACGGCAATGATGGACGTGCCTTCGGTCCCGTTCAACGCCGTCACCAACACGACTGCGGGCGACTCGTCGTGCCTGCGCTCATGAAAGCAGCAAACACCATCTTCGTAGCCATTTCAGTTCAAAATACACTTAGTACCTTGTATTACTTCTGTAGTAGCCACTACACATTACCTCTACCATTTACCGGGCCCAGTCAAGTTTCATGGATCCGCTCGATCTCGACGCATTCCAGTGCCCCCTGGCAGCTGGCACCTGTCAGTTTCTCTCCCTTTCGCCCTATTGCCTTCACCCTGAGATCGCGATGCATCACTTCGCAAAGGGATACGTTGTTGCCAGAACGACGATACGCACAAGGGGGAGACGGTGACGGGCGCGACTCTGATGTCGCTTGACGTAGGGAGAGAATGGAAAGAAGAATGGATATAAGGTATAAGCCAAAAGGCAAGAGGGAGAAGGCGCGATTTGCTCCCCAAGGGGGTTCTAACAAGGGAGAGTAGGCCGATGAGACAAAAGGGGGTTGACCACAAGGGAGGGACCAAACGAAAGTTGACAGCTGTGGAGTTACAACATTGCCCTGTCACAATTTTTGGTCGACGGAGCAAAGTGTTGGCAGCACGATCCAAGATCCATGGGCTTTGCCGATTGAACCCACAGCCCTCCGGCCGTTGATGGAATGTGGGACATCGTGTCAAGACAGCTTAAAATGGATGGCTGGCAGTGTGAGGGAAGCGGGAAGGCCTAGCCAAAATATGTATATATATAAAGAAAAAAGAAAGAAAGAAAAGTCAACTCGCCAAAAGCGACCCATACCCACCCCTAATAGGCAAAGAAGCTTCTGCAAGTCTGAGTCCCCACTGCGTCCATTGACCTTAGCTGAACGGGGTAAAAAGGGAGTATTGCTTCACTAAAGTAGACATAATTGGCGTGAAACCTTGGGCTGCCAAAAAAAAAAGCCCCTCCCGCGTGCCGTACGCCTGCCGAGGGCACACTGCCGGAGACTACCCCGTTCGCTCTATGATTCCCTGCTGGTCCGCCGAGTCGGAGCTCATGGGGGAAACGTGCACCGACCACGGCCCAGAGCCGTTCGTTGTGTCTCTATCAGTCCAAATAAGACAGACCGTCTACCAGGTCAAGCTAGAGAGAGTCCATGACGACATAACTCAAGTAGAAACTGCATATACGAGGGCCGTCAAATATGGTCGAGACAGTCTGTAATTATGCTCACGTCGTCTGACCTGTTCAAAACACAAAGATGGCAGGGTCCTGTCGGATGCAGGGGGGGAGGTTGCTTTTTTCTTTGCTTTTGCTGATATGGAGAGAGACTGGCGGAGGAGCGTTCGAATAAGGCTTACGAGTACAGAATGCCGACACTTGTAAACAAAAGAATGTGTCGTGAAAGCTCCACGTCCGGGCACCCGCATTAAAGCTCATCTTATGCAAGACAAATAACAAACTAGGTGTTGTACGAATGGATCTATTTACGAGTAAAAGTGTGGATGGGTGGATTTGAACAGCAGCTAGCAGGGCCTTTTTTTGACAGTTTGGCCACTGCCGGTTGAGTTGTACCTGAACGATGTGCACTTTGGTTTTAGTCGAGGCCTCTAGGCACGGGAACGACAACACCATCAAAATAGGAGAGGTAAAACATGGGATTGTGTTGGTTCGAGAGCAAAAGATGCCAGTGGCCGAATGTCGAGTTCAAGACCTGATCGAGCTGTCAAGTTGGGTGGCGTTGTGGTTCTTGATTTCCCTTTCTTTCTTTCCTTTTCCCCTCTTGCCCCTTGCCGCTCGTGATCCAGAGTTGTGCCCTCCTTGCTTCCGTGTATTCGCATTTCGCGACGTAATGGTTGCTTTCTTTGTCTGTGGAGAGCCTTGTCCCATTTTTGTTGACAGTGAGACAGGCGTGCCTTAATCAAAGTAAAGGATGTCTTACGCTGGCTACTTTTGCCACATTGTACACCATGTCCCCAGACGAGGGCGCATCAAAACCTCCACCGCGGCATTTCAAATGCAATACTTTGTAAATAGCATGTCGAGGGGCAAACGGAGAGTTGGTTGTGACCGAGAAGATTACGTCTCATGAGAGTCGAAGCTTTGGTTTCTCCATTTCACCTTTTCCAGTATAGGGCTTGTTAGGTCTTTTGTTTGTGATTGGCCCCGCCGGTTTGTCTGTTTGTCATTTCAATGCTTCGTATCACTGGCCATATATCTCGTCCCTTGCATATCTCCTTATGCCGCCTTGTCATTGGCAGCCCTCCAGCAAAAGAAAATCGAGTCGCTTCATTCGTTACCATCAATTTCATTGTATTTCTTCTCATTTCATTTCCTCACTGTATATTCGCAACTCGTTGTGCCTGGCTCCTCATCCGTCCCAATGATTTGTTTTTTGTCCATGACGAGGCTAAAGCTGCAGTCATTCTCACTCATCTGACTGGCTGTTGGGCCAACAAATCAATGAGGCGCACACCTAATGCCGGCCTGTCTCACAGTAACAAAAGAGTTTAATACTTGTTTACGGCCTGTCGTCAGCCGTGAGTCGTCAGCCGTTGCAATTCTTTTTCCGGGGGCGTACCTCGTACTACAACTCGTGAAACATCAATTTCCTTCCTTCTACGGAAACGTACCTATTAATTACTGCATACGAAGTATGTCTGCCGATCTACTCTCCATTGTACGTAGTCTTTCCCAGGTCACTGTCCACTGTATCCCACTTCCCACGATGTATATTCGTGGGCGTCCAGGGGGTGGTTTTTGTGCTTCATGCTTCACCTCTGGATTACGTCTCTATGTTCCTTCTCTTTTCTTTTTGCCTGCAGTGTACTTCGTAGGTGACCATAAGATTGGCAAGTTCGGACCGGGGTTGCGAAGATGAGCGACGACAGCGGAAGCGGACCAGGTGCCGTCCAGGGATCCAAGATGACCAACTGTCCAAAAAGAGATAAAGACCTGCAAAATGATGTGAGAGAACAAGGTGAGACAAAAGGAAAAGACGGAGAAGTCACGGCAAAGGCAGGAGAGGTCAGCCAAAAGAGGCAATGTAGCATGCGAGGCACGGAGGGCTACTTTGGCCGTCGTTGCATAAGATGCATGTGCAGTGTCGAAGATGGGTAAACAAGCACCCGATTTCCGTACGTTCCGGTATTTCTTTTCTTTTGTGTCCTTGTCTTTTTCTCACTTCTCGATGCTTTCTTCTTTCTATCCCCCGTCTGCCAGTCTCCATCTGCCTGCCAGCGTCATCCCTTTGTCTCGCATTCTCCTGTCTTCTCTACCTACGTGAATCTTCTCCCTGTCCGCAAAATCAAGGTCAGAGGGCACCATTGAAAACGGAGCAATGGGCATCGCCAATACCACAATACCACACATATCAAGGGCAACGTAATGACGATCAAATGGCTGCGTGTCCTGCGCAAGTCAGTGGCCTCCAGTAGCCCCGCGCGCCTCTGTCGAGCTTCCCGGCAACGGGGCCTGGGGCGCCCAACACTATGCGATCTGCCGCAGCGGGCACAACGCTCGTCGGTGCTAGCAGGGAACGCCCCGCCCTGGCGACGGCCTCTGAGTGGCCCGTGTAGAGCCTAGCTCGCCTGGTCAGGGGGTTTGAGACACTGCTCCGCCCTTGCTTCAACGGCTTTTGCAGGGCGCGCCCGGACGCGTTTTTTGTGGGCGGCGATCGGCGGTTCTGAGGCGTTGGCCCGGGCGCTCAGAGCAGAGAGTGTCTAGCGAGGTAGTGAGGTAGTGAAACTTCTTTTGATTTTTCGGAGCGTCTTTCCCAAGCCTCTCCTTTCCTTTTCCTTTTTGGCCGTTTGTGCGTTTGCTGTTGTTCGCTCTTCCACGCCGCTCTCTCGCTGCCTTTACTTTCTTTTTCGTTTTCTTTCTTTTTCTTTTTTATTTGGCTGGCTCCCCCGACTCCCTGTGATGCACCCTTGGATGCATATGCCGATCACAATTGATAAACGTCATCTGAAGCCACCATGGGACAAAGTTGGGGCCACCTCACACTTTGTCGTAGTACAGTGTACACATTGGGCCTCATTGACTGGCAGAAACGACCGGTTCAGAGTCAAATTATTGCTTTGCACATTAGTGCCCTTCACGGGTCTGGATTCTCATCTGCATTCTCTTGCCACGAGAAAAAGAAAGCAGAAACAGAATAGGAGCAAAACAGCCGACCCAAAAGAAACGAGCAAACTCGAAGCGCTGGACACTGGCCGGTCCACATGCAGTGCACTTTTCTGTGGGGAAAGGAATGTGTTGAAGTGGTTATGACGAAGTGGCTGCCGAGGAATGTTGTATTGTAGGAAGTGCCGTGCTGTTAGATCGGTTGGGCTGACCCCCTGAGAACGTCATACGACATACCGCCGTGCATTTGTCGAATTTTGTGCCTTTGGCCGGGCTCGGGTTGTGAAGGATAAGAGAATAAGAGAGTAGATAAGAATAGTTTGTGGATTGTGTTCGTTCGGAGCATGTCGTATGTTGCCCAGAAAATAATAAAAGCACATGCAGTTTGGGACTGTGCTTTGACGTTGTTTTTGACTTATTCGACTTTAAAAAAGCAACAATTAGTGTGAAGCTATGTCCAGTCGGGACAACCGCCCCGTTGTTTTGTGCAACGTCGAGCCAAGGCCCAAAGCTGGCCGGCTCAACGCCATCGTGCGCACATGCCCCGTCGAACGTCCTGCGGTATCTCACAATACGTTGGGAGGATTAGCCACACGTGCTCTGCGTTGGTCTGGTCGCGGACCCGAATCTACTCTGGCATTGTCTACGACCTACTCGAAATTTGTTTCCGATTCTGAACGATTTTCATGTTCATTTTTCGTTTTTCGACTTTTTGTCTCCGGTCTTCCTTATATCTAAAATTACCACCCTCGAGCCTCGAACGCGTCGTTGTCTTGGGCATCAAAGCGTTTCTTGATATCCCAGCGGTGATCCAGCCGGTCCCTGCACGTGCATTGTTTCTATTTCCTACTTTCCTTTTTCGTCCATGGCGTTTCTAATTTTGCAAACTTTTTGTCTTTATTTTACAGTTCATCGTTTGATCCAACCGTCTATCATCACGCAACAGCCACCGGCAGACCTTGGCAAATGAGCTCAAAACGCCCAAAACAACCAAAAATAGTCAAACCATCCAAGCACTCGGATGGCCCAAACAGCATGGACCAGTCCAGACCGGGCAACTCCGGCTCCTTCTCATATGCACAGAGGCCGACATGATTGATATGCCGAGGACAATCGTCGTGACAGTCTCCTCGTGATAGACGACTGCCTCTGCCCGGAGAAAGAAATGAAAAATAAAATTGAATGAAAAAAGAAACCCTTCAGACATCAAACTGTCAATGGGCAGAGATCACCCGTCTGTGTATTCTCTGCCTCCCTGACCATATTCCAGCTCTACCTAGATCCGAAGGGGTTTTCGAAGGGTGTGTGTAGATCGAGAGACAGACAAATGCCGTCGATGTCTGGACGCTCGCTTCTGTCAGTCTGGCCCAAGGCTGCAGGGTTGTATCGTCTCAAACTCAAACTCAAACTACTGGACAACCTGCATCCGGGACCTGCATAAGCTCTCTCAACCTGCAGCCACAATGTCTTGATATAAGGCTGCCCGTTGAAATGGCGATCGACAGCCCTCGCACGAAGCCACAGGGAGGAGGGAGTCTCGATGCACACAGGTGTAAGTCGAAAGTCGTCGCAAGACGGCCAGCTCCGCGCCGGGCCCTCGACTTCAACTGAAGCCTCCTGTCCGCCCTCCTGCGAGAGGGCTGCCCCGTCGATCGAGACCCCTCGTCTACGTTGGTCACTGGTGTAAGTGCAGGCTGAGTGTGGGTGGATGCATGTGGGTGGGCACAGTGGAGTGGCCTCGCCCCCTTTCCTCCTTCCTGTCCTCCTCTCTTCGATCTCGACCCTGGCCTCGGACCCTGGCCTCGACTCCGAGCGCAACCCTGACCTCGTCCCAAGCAGTGCAGTGTCCCCTGGCCGTCTCTCCATACCGTCGACGACACCATCGTCTTGTCTGTCCATCGGTCCTTAAAAGACGGCCGTCCCCCTTCCTCATTCCTGTCCTTTTTTTTTCATTCCATCCCATCGAAGCATTCTCATCTTCACCCTCTCCTTCTCCCTTCTTTCTTTGCCTTTTTTACATTCTCTTGTTTGCACATCACTTGCCATTCACTCTTTCTGGCAACAGTCACTCGTTCGACAAACAGTTCAGTCTTTTCCATTCATACAAACCTTAATTTCCCTTCATTAATACGGTCCCTCGCCATCATCAAAACTCGAAAATCTTGTCCTCTTTTTTTCAAGATTATCACCGTCAATCATCACAAGCATCATCAGCGTCAGAACAAACACAGATCACCATGTTTTTCTCCAAGTACGTGCCCGTCCTCGGGGCTCTCGTCGCCGGCGTCCAGGCCTCGCCTGCACCCATCACGCCTGTCGGCAACTCTCTCGTCAGCCGCTCGCCGTCCAAGACGTCTTTCGACCTGTCCAAGAGCTACAACCAGGCCACTCTCTTCAGCGGGTAAGTTGTTTTTTTCTGTCCTCGCTTTGCTCGAACCAATATTGACATCACAGTCTTGCGCCGGCCGCCGAGAACGGCCTCGCCAACGTCAACCTGCACCTTGGCCTGCCCAACGCCCACATCACGGGTAACGTCGATGTCGAGCTGAACGCCAACTTCATCCTCGAGCCCACCGTCATCATCAACCTGGGTGGCGTGGAGGCCTACATTGAGCTCGACGTCAAGGCCGACGCCAAGGTCTTTGAGGCCGCCGAGCTCGTCACCTCCGGCAAGCTCTCCATCGACATCCCCGGCCTGCTCGACGTGGAGGCCGGCCTGGCCCTCGCCCTCGACCTCGTCATCTGCCTCGACGCTGCCATTGATCTGTCTGCCGGTTTCTACGTCAACTTCCCCCAGGGCTCCTTCATCGAGGTCAACGTCCTCACGTCCAAGGTCGTCCGCCACCAGCTCGACAACCTTAACGCGCGCACGCTGCCCCTGACGCTCGGCGTCGACGTCGACCTGAACGTCGACGTCGAGCTCGAGGTCGGCCTGCGTCTGCGCACGGAGCTCGGCATTGACGCCAACGTCGACCCCCTCGGCATCCCGCTGCTGTCGGCCGGTGCCGAGGTCGCCGTCTGGATCAACCTGTTCGACTACACCTCCGTCATCATCGGCCACCCCTCCCACCCCCGCCCCCCTTCGTGCCCCAACAACGCCGTCACTGAGGCCTTCGCCCTGGACGTCGGCATCATTGTCGCCCTCGACGTCGACGTCCTCGACATTGTCAACCTGGACCTGGCGCCCACCATTTCCGTCACCCTGGCCTCGGCGCCCATTGCCACCAGCTGCATTCCCCCGTGCGCCGGCTGCCAGCACTCGGCGTCGTCCTCTGCGGCCACCTCGACCGTCACCGCCAGCTCTGTGCCTGCGTCGTCTGCCGGCGCCAGCACCGTCACCCACATCTCGTCCGGCGCCACCACGGTGACCTCCACCGACAACGCCGCCTCGTCCTCGTACACCAAGACCGTCGTCTCGCACTCGGGCAGCACTGTGACCAAGACCCTGAGCAGCGGCAGCGGCGCTTCGTCCACCGGCAGCGCCGGCCCCATCTCGTCGGCCACCGTCAGGGGCCCCCAGAGCCTGACCACCTCGACGTACTTCGAGACCACCACCGTCACCATCACCTCGTGCGCGGCCTCCGTCGTCAACTGCCCGGCCTCGTACACCCAGAAGGTGGTGACGGAGATTGTCGTCGCCAAGACCACCGTCTGCCCTGTCGCTGCCGCCTCCTCCGCCGCCCACTGGCGCGGCAACGCCACCGTCAGCACCGCCGCTGCCACCACCACCCACGGCCCCGTTGTCGTGACCGTCCCGGCCAAGTGCTCCAACACCGTCACCTTCTCGACGATCCCGGCCTCGTCCGCGACCTCCAACACCTTCACCGCGCCCACGAGCGTCTCGGTCGTCGGCACCGTGACCCTGACGGGCGCCAAGCAGGCCACGGTCACCCCCACGGCGATCGCCGCGCCCACCATTGCTTCCACGGGCGGCTCCCAGCTCATCACCGCACAGCCGTCGGCCTCCAAGCCGGGCTACACCTCGCCCTCCAACCTGCCCGTGACGGCTGCCGCCGCCGGTGTCAGCGCCACGCACGCCGGCGGCCTCCTGGCCCTCGTTGCCGGTATGCTGCTGGCTCTGTAACGGCCTGGACACTTGTGGCATGGCAAGGGCTAGGCGCACGTCGTCATGATGCTTCGTTTTTTTTTGAAAAAATCATTTTCTGTTTTGAAAAATGCGTTGGGAGTTTATTAGGGACACACATCGACACCCACACTCACTCTCACACTCACATACCACTACCATTTCTTTGGGTTTGCTTTTGATGTTTTTTTTTATCTTTTATATCTTGTATCCTTTTTTTTACTACTATTGGTTCTGTCTCGCCATTTTCTTCACTTCTCCATACTTTGTATACTATTTTTAGACCTCCTTTTTTACATACAACCACTCGGGGACGACAACCACATTATTTTTACCACTTCGGCTTGGAGCTCATCTATATACCAAAAAATACAAAATGGACTATTTTTCATTTCAATCGTTTTACTTCTACTGGTGATTTGTCGTTTGTAAATCCACTGCAATCACTGTAATTGTAACTGATCAGTGAAGCCACCGTAACTGCCTATTCTGTCGACATTCCACGCACTTACACATCGAGGAAGGAAAAGTGGGTCCAATCGGGAGTACCCTCGTCGCGTTCAAAAACGGCAAGGGCAAGAGCAATCAAGAGACTGATCACGCGACTCGATGAAGACACAAAATACAAAAGTAACAGTTACTTCTCAATTTCATTCACATTCCTTAGACGGGTCGTTCGCTCTTCTCATCGTGCCCACCTCGCTTTTTGGAGTGCACCCTTGGATGGACGTGTACCTTGATGGCTGTCGACAACACCCGCTGGACACACAACCCGGATGGACAGTTCATCAGGGGCACATCAACATCCGATGCAGGGAACAGCGGCAGCATGGGACATGGAATATATGTTCTGTGGAATTTACTGACCGATCATCGTTGCCTTGACTTTTGTGTTGATTTTTATGGTGTTTTTTTATCACGTTGGTGATTATTTTCATTGTATTTTCTTTCGGCGCCAATTTTTTCATAAATTCCAAAATCAACAAACGTCAAAATGGCCATCGACACAGAGATTGTGACCCAGTCCCTCCCTCCCACTCCTCCCCGTTCACCCCCAATCACAGAAGACGACATTTACGACGTCATTATTGTCGGCGGTGGCCCGGCCGGCCTTGCCATTGCTGCCCGCCTTCGCGAAGACACGCCGGCAGCCATCTTCACCGACGAAGAGCACCGCCGCTACACTTGGCTGCGGAAATATGGCAAGCGCGTCTCCGTTCGCCATGTCAAGACAAACAAGGACATTCCGCGGGGCCCGGGCTCGTCGTCGCCGCCCATGAAGATGGCCGTCCTCGACGCATCGTCCGACGCCTGGCTCGGCCGCTGGAACCGCCTCTTTGGCGCCTACGGTATTGCCTTCTTGCGCAGCCCCCTGCTTTGGCACGTCGACCCCCTGGACCGCGACTCGCTGCTGGCCCGCGCCCACGAGCAGGGCACGCCCGACCGCGACCTGTTTGACATTGGGGCCTGCGTCGGCAAGGAGATTAGCAAGCACTTGAAAAAGAAGAGGACGCAGCATCGTCGCACCACCGCGCAGGGCCGCGGCGCCGGTCTCCAAGACGGCCAGCCCAACGTCGACATCAACGAGCGCGACCGCAACGACTACTTCACGCCGTCGCGGCAGCTGTTTACCGACCACTGCAACGGCGTGCGCGACCGCTACGGCCTGGCCGGCGGTGTGCTGCGCCACGAAACGCTGCGCGCGCTCGACTACGGCGTCGTGCGAGGCGTGTCCCGCGACGACGGCGACGACGACGACCCCCTCTTCACGGTGACGACCGACAACGCGCGTCGGTACGCGCGCATTGTCGTGCTGGCCGTCGGCCCGGCCAATGCGGCCCGGGTGCCCGCCCACATCCCCGGACTCGCCGAGGCGGCGCGCTGGCTTCGGGCGACCAACGCCAAAGCCGACGCAGCAGCAGCCACCGGCCTGGACGGCGAGACCTTGTATCCCCACGCCGGCCACACGTTCCACCTGCGCCAGGTGCCGGACCCGGCGCTGGCGGCGCGCATCCAGGCCCAGGTGCCCACCAACGTGCTGGTCGTCGGCGGCGGCCTCACGTCGGTGCAGATCACCGACCTGCTTGTGCGCCGCGGCGTCACGCGCGTGTGGCACCTGATGCGCGGGCCCAACGTCGTGGTCAAGTACTTTGACGTCGACCTGCGCTGGATGGGCAAGTACCGCAACCGGGAGCAGGCGCGGTTCTGGTCGGCCGACACGGACGAGGAGCGCCTGGCCATTGTCCAGGACGCGCGCGGCGGTGGCAGCGTGACGCCGCACTTTAGCAAGGTGCTCCGGGGCCACGTCGCGTCCGGCAAGGTCCGGCTCCACACGGGCACGCAGGTGGCCCGCCTCGCGTTTTCGCCCGCATCCGCCACCTGGGCGGTGACGACGACACCCCCGATTGCCGACCTCCCGCCCATGGACCACATCTACTTTGCCACCGGCATCGACACGGACGTGCGCCGTCTGCCGTACTTGCAGACGATGCTGGACAAGTTCCCCATCGAGACGGTCGGTGGCTTCCCCTGCCTGGCCGAGGACCTGCAGTGGGCGCCAGACGTGCCGCTGTTCTGCTCCGGCAAGCTGGCGATGCTGCGGATCGGCCCGGCCGCGCCCAACATTGGCGGCGTCAAGCTGGCGGCAGAGCGCATTGGGCTGGCCGTGGAGGAACGGCTGCGGCAACAGAAGCGACGTGACGGCGAGGATGGCATGGAGGAGACACCCGACGAGCAGACGGACTACTTTAGTGGTGTTGGCAGCAAGTACAAGTGTCTCGCGAGTGTTGGGGCGTGAAAGACATCGGTAAGACTACAATTTACACCTTCTGCTTACCGTCCGTACGTTATATAAATCACACGAGGCAAATGCAAATGACAGAGTTCAACTAAAGCCAGAGGCCGATTTTCTTCTATGTCTAACTAGAAAGATCATAAAGACAAAAGACGTGTACTGGTCGAGGAGCGGTGGGAAAGGAGATTCCAACTCCACCGTCCCAAATCTATCCGACATCGACATCACAACTACTCTAAAGAGGCGGGCGCGTATGTTCTAGATCGTACCAAGTAAAAAAAGAGAAATCGTTGCAAAAGACATGAAAGCCAGACAGGAAATAGAAACAAACAAAAAAAACGAAAAAGAAAGGGCAAAAAGCATAAAGACCATTAATTTTTAAGACTCCGAAACATGAGGTAAAAAGACAGCAAGGAAACGCAGTGTGAACAAAGAAGCACTTTTGGCAGAAAACGAAGAACAACGCGGGACAATGAATTTTGACAAAATGTCGTCCAAACGCTTAGTCCTCCTCGTCGGAAAAGACCTCCTCGCCACGCTTGCGGCGGGCCATACGCTCCTTCTTCTTCTTGCGGGCCTCGGCCGAGGTCAGCTTCGCCTTCTTCTTGGTGCCGGCAATCTTGTTGCCCATGGCATCGAACTTGTCCTCCTCGTCGGCGTCGTCGCCCTTGAGGCGGGGGCCAGAGCCCTGGCCTTGCACCCAGTTGTGGCCAGAGGGCGTCATCTTGCCGTCCAGGACGGCCCACACCTCCTCCGTCAGGTCCTTGGTGAACTCGGCAGAGTGGGAGATGATGATGACACCACCCTCAAACTTCTTCAGGGCCTTGGACAGGGCACCCAGAGAGTCGCGGTCCAGGTAGTTGGTGGGCTCGTCGAGGACGATCAGGTGAGGGCGCTGCCACGAGCAGGCGGCAAGGACGACCTTGACACGCTGGCCACCGGACAGACCGCGCATGCGCGAGTGCGAAATCAGCTCAGCATCCAGGCCGAAGTTGGCGCAGTGGGCCTCAATCTCCTTGCGCACCAGAGGGCGGAACTGACCCGAGGCCAGGGCCTCCTTCATGTCCACTTCGGCGACCATCTTCTGGTGGGACGCCAGCAGCTCGTTGCGGGGCAGCCAGTCGTTGTCGGCGGACATCATGGGCGTCCAGCGCTCCTGCTTGGTGCCGACGTTCTCGCCCAGGGCGAACGAGCACTCGTACTCGTACGAGTTCTTGAACTTGCGGCGCGAGTTGATGCCAATGACACGACGCTGGGTGTCGCCGATGCGGAAGATGCGGTTCATCGCCTGCTCGTCCTCCTCGGTGATGATCTTGTTGGCGCGGTCCATCGTCTCGCGATCCTCACCCGTGCGGAAACGCCACTGGATGTACTCGGAGGGGGTCTTGTCCAGGTGGTTGTCGATGTGGGCGAAGGCGTGCTGCTTGATGTACGCGATACGGATGTTCTCGTGCTGGTAAATCTCACCGGCGGTGGGGATCAGCTCGCCCGTCAGGACGTTGACGAGGGTGGACTTGCCGGCGCCGTTGGGGCCGATGACGGCAATACGCGAGCTCAGCGAGCACTGGAAGGTGATGTCCGTGATCTGGGGCTTGGGGGTGCCGGGGTACTGGAAGCTCATGTTGGTGGCACGCAGGATGGCCTTGGCCTTGGTCTTGACACCCTCGAGGAAACCGGGCTCCGGGAAGGAGAACTCCATCTCGGAGGCCCCCAGCTCGTAGTAGGACTTGGCCGACGGCACGCGGGCAACAAAGTCCTTGAGGTTGCCCCGGTAGCGCTTGAGCTTGAAGCGCTCGTAGTGGACAATGTGCTGGCACACGTGGTCGAGGAAGCCCGAGTCGTGGGACACGATGATGGACGTGCAGGGCGAGTTGATGAGGTAGTCCTCGAGCCACTTGACGTTCTTCACGTCCAAGTGGTTGGTGGGCTCGTCGAGCAGCAGAATGTCGGGGGCCTCGAAGACGGCACGGCACAGAGCCAGCTTCATCTTCCAACCACCGGACAGGGCCGTGATCTCGCCCTCCACCATCTGCTGGGTGAAGCCGAACTCGTTGAGCTGCTTGATGACGTCCTCCTTGGTGACGTCGACCTTGGCCTCGGTCAGCTTCTTCATGGTCCAGTCAATGGTGGTCATCTCGGTGTCGGCGGAGTCCAGGTCGTGCTCGACGAAGACGGTCTTGACCTCGCTCTGCTTGGGGAAGCCCTCCACCTGCTCGTTGTTGATGGCGCGCATCAGGGTGGACTTGCCGGAACCGTTGGGACCGCACAGACCGTAGCGCTGGCCACGCTTCAGGCGCAGGTGGGTCTGGTTCAGCAGAATCTTGGCACCGTAGGCAAGGGAGAACGTGCAGTTGCACAGGTCCTCGCCCTCCTCGTCGTCGGCCTCGCCCTCCTCCTCGGCGGCCGCGCCAGGAGACGCCTTCTTGCGGAGGCTCTCGACGACCTTCTCGGCCTCGGCGTCGCCGACAACGACGGCGACGTACGACTTGAGGTTGGTGACCCAGGTGGTGGACTCAATGTCCTTCTCGTCGATGAGCTGGCCAGCAATGGCGGCAATGTAGGTCAGGACGGGGGCAAACTTGGCGTCGCTGCCCTTGGCGCCCAGGACGGACTTGAGGTGGCCCAGGACGATCTGGACGTCGCCGTGGTTGCTGGGCTCAGGGATCTTGCCGTCGACGACGTTGCCGACACGAGTGATGGTGTCCAGGGCCTGGCGGGTCTTCTCACGCGCCTCGGGGTCGGCCAGGGTCTCGTAGTTCTTCTGCAGACCGGGCATCATCTTGGGCAGGAAAGGAGCGACGATGTTCGGGTCGTCGACGAGCTTGCACATGTTGTCGACAATGACAGCTGACTTGCGCTTGATGGCGGTGTCGCGCTCAGCGAGACCACGGTCCAGCAGGGGGACCATCAGGGCCAGGGTGGGCTCCTGCACCTCCGTGACGAAAGTGGTGGCACCCAGCAGGTGGACCGTCTCGGGGACATTCTCGGGCTTGGCCACACACTTGATCAGCTCAGGGATGAACTTCTCAATATCCTTGTTGACGATCAGGGAGCAGACAACCTCCATGGTCTTGTAGGCACGGGTGGAGACCTCCTTCTTGGTCACCCACATGGCCTCGGAGACGGCCGGGATCAGCTCAGGGACACGCGTGGACATCTGGGCCTGAGCAGTGCGGATCAGGGTGTCAATGAAGTCAAGGGCGAGCAGGCGCTCGGGGAACTTCTGGGCGTTGCGCAGCGACTCAATGACGCTGGGCAGGGCCGCCTTGACGGCGTTGGGGGACAGAGCCTCGGCGATCGCCAGACCAGCGGCGATGGCAGCGGTCTTGACGCTGGTGATCTTGTCACCGGCAGACGCCAGGACAGCGGGCAGGAGAACAATCAGGAAGGGCTCGACGGTGGCCGACACCTCAGCGTGCTGGGCAATGGCCTGGATGGCGGTCAGAGCCTTCTCGCGGACAGTAGCATCCTTCTTGTTGGCGAGCTGCTTGGACAGAGCGTCAATGGTCCTGAAATCACGTGTTAGCGAAGGAGTTCTTTCGACGATTGAGACGGAAAACGGAAAGTGCTCGCAAAAAGGGAAAGAGCCAAAATGTCGTTGCAAAATGTCCAGGAAGCTGCCACCGACCCATCCCACCCGCAAACCCGTCAAATCGCAGATCCCAGACGCAAATACAGATCGAGAACCGTAGCCTTGCCTAGGAAGGCGGAATCCGGATCTCTGCTGCTCCGCAAATGAGGCCATTGACCGATTCGGCAAACGCCCGCAAAAAATTTTCTACCCTCGTAATTAAACGGGGCCTGCTGTTGCTGGAAGCGGTAGAAAAAAAAGGCGGTGACCAAAAATGGACCAACTTTGCGGCGGCAGGTTGGTGGGGGGACACCTAGCAATTGGAGGCGCAAGTGCTTTTGGTGGGGGAGGGGGGCTTTTTGGCAGGAAAAAAAGGCAACGACGACTGGCTCAAAAAATTTTCGGGTTCCTGGTTTTGGCGCGGGAAAGATCAAAGGGGCCGTCTGCACCAAAGCACCGACGCGAGGAAGGCGCGGTTGCAGGGTCCCCAAGAAACGATCGCAACAAAACGTAGGAAAATAGGAGCGCAGGAATCAGTGCAGCAGATATGGAACGTACTTGGCGGGAACATCGAGGTTCTCGATGCGGCCGTTGATGAAGGTGGCAATCGCGTTGGACGACTCCTTGATCTCGGACGCCTCCTTGGAGACGGTCAGGCCCTGCATGAGGTCGGCGAGGACCTTGTCGCTCTTGGCGTTCTCAGCTTTTGAGGCCATAGTAGCGGATTGTATTGTATGAAGAGGAAGGAGAGTCGAAGAGGAGCGGAAGACGGAGGGGTATCGTCGAAAAAGAAAACCGGTCGCGTGGAGCGTCTATCCCGGTGTGGTCTGAAAAACGAAGGAAAAAGGAAAATCGAAAACGACGTACCGCGCTCTGAGCAGAACGAGACGTCGAGGCTTTCGAGATGAAGAGGGATATAGAGGTCAAAAAGAGAGAGAAGAGAGGGGGATGAGAGGGGAAAGAAAGCAACAGAAAGAAAAAGGAGAAGTGGAAAAGGGAAAAGAGATGAGAGGGGGGATAAAAAAAGTGGACGAGTGCAAGAATATTTATGGCGGATGTAGATAAGGCTTCGATGGCGAACACTGTGCTGGAGGGGCGTGGGAGTACGGGGCAACAGGGACAAGAGGCTGCGGCCAGCGGGATGGAAGAGAGCAGGAACAGGGTCTTTGCGGTGAGCTGGAGGCGAGAAAGGAGACAACTGGGCGACGAGAAAAAGTTTGCGGCAAAGGGCAGAAAAAAACTTTTTTGTGGGCCTTTGCCTCAAGAACAGCCAGCAAGATGCCGAGAAATTCAAAGAGGCAGACGCCAGGGTAGGGGACTGGCGGGCTGGAGGGGTAAAAATTTCAGCGTGAAAAGGTTTTCGCATGAGGATCCGCCCTCACCGCCCTCCCGAATTGCCGGATTGGGACTAGATCTGTGTCTGATAGAGGGA